TGTGCAGCACATTCAGTTGTAGAATATTATAAACGAGAGATTCAGTTCAGTCTCTCATGAAAAACCAGACTGATATGCAAACTAGTGTATTTCTCGAAAACGGTCCAATTTGGGTTCAAGTAGAACATAAGATTGACGGAAACTCGGGGACTGCGCCTACCTGATGCCCAAGAAAGGCGAAACCGGTCGTGGGCTGACGAACATTTTTCAGCAAACTTGTGAGTAGTTTCCTTTATGACAAGAGAAAATTTCTCTGAGACTTTAACGGAAGTAATGTATAAAAGTAATCGTTTTCAGTAGTACGTACGAGTATTAAATACTCCGTTTTAACTGGTGTCGTGTACTTTCTCACTACCACGGTTTCACACGATTGAGAAGGCCAAGAATAGGTTCTGTCAGAGAGGAAACTGCTGAAGGATGGATGTGATAAGTATACTTTATTAAATTGTTCTAGCATTCAAAATCAAATTAGTCTGCCTCAGTTCATGATTAGACCAAATCAAATATGCCCAGCAATCACACGCTAAGTGTTAAATGTACCGTCTCCCGCGGATATCACCGAACGATCAATCTGCAGCCATACTTTAAAAAGACCATCCAGGGATGAGGTGTCTTCTTACAAGAGGCTGACTGCCTCTACTTTGGTAGGACATCTTCTATTTCAAAAAATACGTCGAAATCGGAGGCCACAAATCCGCATTTCTGAGCGTTTTCGTCAAATTGCCGTGGTTTTCACCTTTACTGAATGAATCGTGGTGGCTGGTTATCGGTGCAATGTGTTCTTATCAGTCCGACTTTGTCCGTTAAGTGTACCGTCTCCCGCGGACATCACCGAACGATCAATCTGCAGCCATACTTTAGAAAGACCATCCAGGGATGAGGTGTCTTCTTACAAGAGGCGCCAGTGAAGGTCAAATTTAGCTCAATGATGAAACACTTACGTATCAATCGTGGTCATGGTTCCATTTTTACGAATACCTTAAAAATCGATTTTTACTCGATCACAAACGTCCATAAATCATTCAATACTACTTTTTCACTTGTACCCTCCCTATCAAGATCCAGTGCATCCAGGTCAGCCCCCCTTGAGTTGTACGTTTTCGTTGATCTTGGCTGGAGAGGGGCGGGTTGTATGGTTTTTACCCTGACATCATTTCTTAGCATATTGAAGATTAGTTTACTGACCTTTTTGTCTAAAACCGATTGATGGTATATGCGGTAGGTGGACACTTTCACGGGCACCATAGT